CCCGTTTTTTAACCTTAAACCAATGTTTTGTTCCTCATCTTAACGAGCTCCTGTCTCCCTTTGGTTTTCCATTTAGGACAGCTTGCGTACTCTAATTTCCTCAACAACATCTGTAGGAAAATCATCCCCGTGACTTCATTTTTTAATGTACCTGCTCCACTTACCACTACGTTTTGGTTGTATTATAGTCCCGTTCCTCCTGACATTAAAACATATAGCAATCATATTCAACTCTACTCTGCAAATTGTATAAGAATAAAAGTTAGAATTAACAATTTATTTTGTACAACAGTGGAATTTTCTGTCATGGATAATGTGCTTGAGTCACCGTATTCTCTAGATGCATCAGCCAGAGAGCCAGGAACACTCTTGTTTTCGCCTTGAGTCTGTTAATGGGGTTTGTTTTGTCCTGTGCCTTATGTGGAAAGGAACTTTTAGTTTCACTTTCTTTTCTTTTCTTCTGGTGGAAGCATGTGCAGGAGACGTACCATCCATACTTGACCATTTTAAACTACCAAACTCTTTTGTGATTGCTTTCTGTGATTGTTGATGTAATGCATCGAGGACAAAGGGTGGTGCAAAAACAAAAAACAAATGACATTTAATCTGCTGTGTCCATTCAAATGTTCCTGCTGCCATTTTTTTTTTCCTCACTTGCAGCTCTTTCCTTTTGCCTGCATGCTGCTTTTATTTGCATTTCTTCATGGTGTGATGTGTTAATTAAAAGGATGGCAACGTGGTATGTTTGCCAAAAATTTAATACAAAGCACTGATTTAGCTTTCAAGGTTAAAAATGTCGAAGATACCTACTAATTTCCCTCTAGGCAATGTCAGTCCACTAGTATATCTTCTCTCTCCTCCTGCATAGCCGTTGGGTTTTATGATATGGAAGAGTTCTTTGCATGCACTAGTTTTCTATGGAGGGTGATGTGGTTGTCTACTTTATGTGTATGAATATAACATGCAGTTCCCAAACTGACAGCAGTTAACACGAACTTTTAAGTTCTCTCTTCCCGTTAGTCGCTCGGGTGAGTTGGTCTGTAACCTCGCCAAAGGCAGAGTGAAACTACATTTACAAAGAAAGGGGAAAGAAACCCAAAAGTTGGCAGTTTAATTTATTACCTCCCTGAAAACTTTCCATTTTCCAGTGTTAAAAGCTGAGTCATTGGTACTTGGGTCAGTCTGGCTCTTGATCCATGCTGTGGGAATGCGGGGGGGGAGAATCCCAGTGGGGCTATGGAGCCCCACTGGGATTCACTGGCTTTTCCAGCTTGCCTTCTCGCTTTGCTCAGGCTCCAGTGTCACTGACGATGTGGCCTCATCCTTTCTGAAGGGGAAGGGGGTTAAGGACTGATGGTCCAACACTGTCGCTTGCTCCTTCCAGACTGGGTGCTGGGTCTGCCAGCGTTGCCTGTATGTTCCCCTGCTTTAAAACACCACTCAGGAGAGCTTGAGGACAAAGAGATGTTTTAAATAGAAGCTTCTTCCTCCCCAAGCCTCACATTCTCGTTTAAAGCTGGGCAAGCTCCTGCTTCACTCTTGTCTGGTCGGGTCTTGGACTGTTTCCAGTAAATAACTGAAGTAGTAAATAGCTCTGACTTACTTTTAACAAAGTGATGGTGTTTTAACATTGAATTGCTAATTTCTGATGGTAACTTGACCGAGGTGTCTCCTTTTCCTCTGTATTTTGGCATTTTGTCTCCGTGTGTGTTAACCCTTCCCAGTTGAGTGGCTTTTGGGGTCAGGCAGGATGCTGGGATAAATCAGCGCTGTGGTGCTTCTTGCGTCTCAGCATTGTAAATAGAGTACGGCTGCCTTTTGGCTAAACCTGCACTTTCTAACCTGATCAAAAAGGGAAAAATGGAGAGCTGTACATCTAGGGTCTTTTGTATAATCCTTGTTTTAAACGTGAGCTTTTTATTTGCTTCCAGGGGCTTGGCTCCCTCTTGTGTAAGTCCCGCGGGGTCCTTGTAGACAGTGTTCATTGCAAGCCAGCAGGTAGAGAGCAGGCCACTCACTGGTACTACCAGCTCCCACCTCCATTTCCTGTTCCCCTTTCCCAGTTAATAAACTGAAATCTTTCTAGTTGGTCTAGTTCTGTTTGTATGCAAGCTGTTGTTTTAACTGTGGGGCTTGGCGTTGTGTTGTGCTGTGGGGTGCAAGGCCCAGCCAAGGACGAGTGAGCAGCAAGAGGTGATGCAGATGATGAAAGGCTAGAAATAATAATCATGTTGGAGGATTTTGCAGTAACTTTCTGCTGGTACCTAAACTTCCTGCTAGTTAGAGAAACCTGCTTGGGGAACCTCTGCTTGGAAGACACCCCCTCCCCATTCCTGAGCATGGAATGAAGCCGAAGCCCAGCCTGGAAAAGGATCGAAAGTAGCTTTCCCTGTGCCAGCCTCCCCGGCTTTAGCCAGCCCAGCTGCCGGAGGAAGACTCAGCGCTACCTTTCTGTCATGCAAATAAAGCAAAAATCATGTAACTTAATTAAATTGGTCATGATAACCTAAAACCCGAGGTTGAATCTATCCTACAAGCGTCTCGGCCACTCTCTGTGCCGTGCCGTGGTGGTGCGGGGCAGGGGTGGAAGCGGTGCTTTGTGCTCTCCGACTCGGACGGTGGAAAAAACAGCATCAACTTAAGGTCTAGGATTAATTCCCATGCCTACAATTTTTTACTTAATCTTTTAATATTTTTGCTACTCCACTCTGGCTTTTTATTTAAAACACATTCTTTTGTACCACTTACTGTATCAAATTGTATAAAAGATCACTGTCCCATTCTTGGTCATACCAAGAGCAAATAAAAGCTTTTATAAACTTGCATTGGTTCCTTCCTGGGCCCTGTTAGACTCCTTTTGGGCTGAGCTTTCCATTGGGGCTGTAGTAGTGGCTCTTGGACCTGGCACCTGCAGCTGCTGGGATGTACCAGTAACCCCTGGGATGCGGGAGCTGATCGCTGCTGCCGAGGGGTTATTGGGCTGGTGCAGGGCTGTTGCTCTGTATCATCTCCTCAGAGAAGTTAAAGGCTGTTCTTTCTCTGGGGCAGGGCTGGGGGAAGTGCCATGGTGTGTTTGTAGAACAGGGGGTGGGGGTGTACCCAGCTCTTGGGGTGCAAGTCAGACCCCTCGGTTATCCCTGGCTCGTTGGAGAGGACTTTTACAACTGCCTTTAAGGGCAGTAGCTGTCTGAGCATGCAAGGTGTCAGGTGGGTTTTCCAGCTCTCCAAGAGCAGTTGGCAAACCCTTCCCTATGGAGCAGGGTCCGTTTGCCCTCTCCAGTCTCTGCAAGCTGCCCTCGCCGCAGAGAGTGGGTGCTCCCGGGGCCTCCTGCAGCCTCTGTGACCCCTTGCTAGAGCTCAGCCAGGGCCCCATCCCCGTGGCACGGGATGGCGGAGGGAGGACATGCTTCTGCCGCTGCCTTCCCGCTGCCATGGTGCCGGTAACCGGCAGGAGGGGGGTTGTGCGAGAGGCCAGCGGGCAGAGGGGACCCGGCGGGGCCTTTTCCCCCACCGGCCCCTCCCGGTGTCCCGCTTGTCGCTGTCACCCCCGGCAGAGGCTTGAGCCTTTCCCCATCCTCCTCCTGCAGCTCTGTCATCTCCGCCCCCATCCCTGCTTCACCCTCGTCCCTGCTCTGTCCCCATCGCTTCTCCATCCGTGCTCCATCCTTGTCCCTGCTTTGTCTTCATCCCTGATCCTGCTCCTTCTCTATCCCTGCTTCGTATCCTTGCTCCATCCCCGTACCTGCTCCATCCCCACCCCTGCTCTGTCTCCATCCCTGATGCATCTCTGTCCCTGCACCTTTTACATCCCTGCTCCGTCCTTCTCCCTGCTTTATCCCTGTCCCTGTTCCAACCCCGTTCCTGTTTATTCTGGCAAGTTTTCCATGTGTCCCAACAGGTTTGGGCTCTGCCCCCGAGCACCCCACTGCTGCTCCGATGGCACCCCCAACCGACTCAGGCCCTCGAGGAGGGGTTGGGGTCTCCAATACCCATTGCTCTGTCTGAGGTGTATGTCGGGGAGACAGCGGGTAGCAGGGCCCAGCACGGTGGCACATCCCCAGGGCTGGGCGCCGACCCTGCAGGCTGTTGCGGCTTCCTCCACTCTCACCCTCCACTTCCCCGGTCACCCCGAGCTGTGGCTGGGCGTGCAGTGCCCTGCGTCCCAGGTTCCCCTCTGCTGTTTCGCCAGAGGAGACCCCAGAACGGGCTTGTGAGCGAGCGTGTCCCTAACTCAAGGGGTGCGGGGACCCCTGAGCTCGGTGTCCCAGCTCAGGGTGGCTGTGAGCCTCCAGGGTGCAGTGTCCCTGCTCGGTGTAACGATGGTGTCTCAGCCCGGGGGTCTCCCTGATAGAGATGCCCCAACCGGGGGATCCCTGTGATGGTGATATCCCTGCCCGGGAGTCCCCATGATCGCGGTGTCCTTGCTGATCATGGTGATGTCCCAGACTGGGGAATCCTGCTCCCGGAGCCGGTGCCGTTCGTGCCTCGGGTGCCCAGTGCCATACGGGGGGTCCCCGCCCCGCCTGGGGCAGCCCTGGGCTCCTCCCCCTGGTCTCCCCTGCAGCGCCAACCCCGTCTCGGCTCCTCCAGTGTCGGTCTCTCCTGGGGAACCCCCGGCGGGGTCCCAGCGGCTCCGAGCCCCGGAGCTGGCTCCGGCTGCGGGACACGCGGTGTGTGTGTGTGGGGGGCTCCCTGTCCCCCCCTTCGCCTCTTCCTCCTGCGGCCAAACCGAGCCGAGCTCACCGGTAGCCCGCAGGGGCGCCGGGGCTGAGCCCGCGACACCTCCGGTAGCCCGGGGCGAGCAGCGCCTCTTTCACCCCCCCGCCCCAGAGCGGTCCCCGCCGGGGTGGCCGGGCCGAGGGGAAGGTTGGGGGGCTCCGGCCGGGGTCCCCGCCCCATCCCCGCCCCCGGGGGGGGGGGTTCCCGCCTGCCGGGGAGGGGCTGGGGGCGGCTCCTCCCGCTGCCCCGCTCCCGCCGCCCCCCGCCCTCCCCGGCCCGGCCCCGGCCCCGCCGCTGCCCCGGCCCGGCGGCGGCGATGGAGCCCGGCCCGGGCCCGGCTTGAGCCGCGATGCGATGGAGAAACTGGCGGCGGGGCTGGCCCGGCTCCGCTGGAGCCCCGCGGCGCTGCCCCTCGACGCGATCGTGAGCCAGTGCCGGCTGCCCACCCTCGTGTGCCTGGGGCAGGGTGAGGGGCGCCGGGGCGGGATGGGGGGCTGGGGGTGAGAAAGGGGGGTGAAGGGTGGAGGGATGAGGAGGAGGAGGGAGGGGGGCTGGAGGGATGGAGAGAAGGAGGGAGGGAGGGAGGGAGGAAGGATGGAGAGGTGAGGAGGAGGGAGGGAGGAAGCCTGGAGTGATGGGGACGATGATGGAAGAAGGCTGGAAGGACCAAGAGGAGGGAGGGAGGCTGGAGTGATGGGGAGGAGGAGGGAGGGAGGCTGAAGTGATGGGGAGGAGAAGGGGGGAGGAAGGATGGAGAGGTGAGGAGGAGGGAGGGAGGAAGGCTTAAAGGGAGGAGGTTGAGTGGGAGGATAGAAGGGTGGGGAGGAGGGAGGAAGACTTGAGAGTGATGAGGAGGAGGAAAGGAAGAGGGCTGGAGGGATGGATGGTGGAAGGATGAGGTGGGAGATAGGAAGACTGGAGGGGTGAGGAAGAGAGGGGAAGGCTAGAAGGATGGGGAAGAGGAAGAAAGAAGGCTCAGGGAAGAGGAGGAGGGGAGGACTGGAGGGTTGAGGAAGAGGATGAGGAAGGATGGATGAGTGAGGAGAAGGTAGAGAGGAAGAGAAAGGGGGAAGACCAAAGGGACTAGGAGAAGGGAGGGAAGCTGGAGTGAGAAGGAGGGAGGAGGGTTGGAATGTTGATGATGATGATGAGGGAGGGAGGAAGGCTGAGGGCCAGGAGAAACTCAGCGTGTGTGTGTGTATGGAGGTCCCTGGCTGCCCCTGGTCCCCACCTGCGGGCTGGTTGCCATCCTCATCCTTTCCGGGTGCCACGCTGGAGGAGGTGGCACCAGGCTGGCAGGGGCTTGGGGTCACCATGTCCCCTCAGCACCCTCGCTGGGAGGGGGCCAGTCTGGGTGGGGAGCAGGGGGGTGCCCAGGGTCATCCGTACAGGATGTGTCCCCTCCGGAGCGGGGTCCATCCCTCCGCAGCAGGGTGGGTGCTGGTGTGGGTGCCGGGGGGTGCAGTGGGGGCCCCCGGGCTGGCCCCGGCTCAATAAACTTGTTGTTTGCGGCGGCTGCGGCTTTTCAGGGGGGACAAAGAAATTGTTTCCTGGGCAACTGCTGGCTCTTGGCAGCGGGACCCTGCTCATCCCCGCCGCTGGCTGCCCCCTCCGCCCGCCCGTCCCTGCCTCCACAGGGGTGCGGGTGTCCTGGGGATGGTGACAGCCCCGTCCCCCGACAGGCGAACGTGTGGAGGGTGTCAGTGCCCAGGACGTGCTGCTGGTCCACTCGTGCCGGCAGTGGACCACGGTGACTGCTCACAGCCTGGAGGAGGGACACTACGTCATTGGCCCCAAGATCGACATCCCGCTCCAGTACCCAGGTGGGGTGCGAGGGGTGAGGACAAGGGTGCCGGGGTCCTTGGGGTGAGGACGGGGGTGTTGGTGTTTCTTGGAGCAGCAGGGCTGGGACCCCCACTCTGCTCAAGCGGCTGGATGGGGGGGGGGATGCTCCAGGATGGGCTGGCCTGGAGAAGCAGATGCTCTGTTTTGGGGGCTGCTCTCAGCCCTTTGCGCCCTGCCAGTGCCCAAAGCAGGGGGGCTTCAGAGTGGGGCTGGTGGGGATGGAATGGGATAAGGACACTGGTGGGGATATGATAGGATGCAGACAGGGACAGGGTAGGGTTGCGGACAGGGTATAGGGGCAGGGATGGGGATGGAATGGAATGGGATAGAATAGGGACACAGGGGATGGGATACAGGCAGGGACAGGGACGGAGACAAGTGCAGGGATGGAGATGGGTCTGGGGATGGGAGAGGGTTGAAGATGGGATGAGGACAGGGACAGGGATGAGAAGAGATGAGGATGGGGAAGGGATGGTGACAGGGAGAGTGATGATGGGATGGGCTGGGGAAGGGATCAGGATGGGGACAGAGGTGGAATGAGGGTGGGATGAAGATGGGGATGTGAATAAGGATGGGGTTGGGGCTGGTGATGCAGACGAAGGTGCTGAGATGCTGGCGGCCGCAGTAGCAAGAGCCTTAATGACCGCTCTAAGTGCTCACCATGTCGGTAATGAGTCCTGCTAATGAATAAATAATGGGAAATGGAGGGGGGGAGGGGGTTAATCGCCTGTCCCCTGGGGGGGGGGGAGAAGAGGGGAGGGGGGGGGCACTGTGTTAACCTGCTTCGGGTCAGGGCTTTGCCGTGCTGGAGCTGCCCCAGCACATGGAGCCTGCACCCAGCCCTGTGTCCCCATCACTGCGGCCCCAGCACCGCTTGGCACGGGCTGGCGCTGGAGCCGGTGCCGGGGGATTAATATTCCCGTCAGGTCTGTCCCCGCCGAGGCGATGCCGATGGAGGCAGTTCTGCTGCTCCAGCCTCTGCCTCTGCTGCTGTCCCTCCTGCCCAGCCCCCTACCAGGTCCCCCACCCAAGGCAGGAGGCTGGGGGGGGGGCTGTCACAGGGCCCTGGTGGGGCTCGAGCAATGAGGGGGGCTCCACTGGCTCTGCCCTGGGTGGGTTTCTCCCTCCATGGGCATTTCTGTGGCTGCTTTGTGGTGGCTCCTGCAGCTACAGCAGTGCTGGAGCAGCATCGCAGAGCCAGCCCGTGTGCTTTGTCCCACCCAAACCACCCCCTTGACGCTGTGTATGTGGGGCAGAGCTATGGGGCTGCTCTTGGACAGCACTTGGACACCCTGGGTGAAGGCTACAGGATGTCCCCCCAGAATGTGATGGGGACCCCAGGGTGTACTCAAGGGTGGCTGCCCCCCAGTGAAGGGCCAAGCACTGGAGGTGGGCTCCTCTCACCACCCTGGCTTTGGCTGCCCCATACAGGGAAGTTCAAGCTGCTGGACCAGGACCGGGACATCCGTGAGCCCGTGCAGTATTTCAACAGCGTGGAGGAGGTGGCCAGCATCTTCCCAGACCGCATCTTCGTCATGGAGGCCATCACCTTCAGTGTGAAGGTCTGTATGGGGGCACCAGGGGACACTGGCAGGGCAGCAGGGAAAGGTGGGAGGATGTCAGGGGACATCGTGGGTCAGTGCTGGGACATTAGATGGGATGCTGGTGGGACATCGGGGGTGGTGGTGGGACATTGGCAATAGTGGTGGGACATTGTGGGTAGTGGTGGGACGTCAGGGGGTGATAATGGTGAGACATCACAAGAGGACAATGGGACAGCAAGGAATGGTGATGGGACATGAGGGGGTGGTGGTGAGAATCAGGTGGTAGTGGTGGGACATCATGAGTCAGGGGGGAGACATCAGGAGAGGACAGTGGGACATGAGGGGGTGGTAGACCTCATGAGCTGGTGGTGGGACATTCGGAAATGGTTGTAGACATTGGGGTAGGTGTTGGGACAGAAGGAGTCAGTGGTGGGACATCAGGAGAGGACAGTAAGACAGCAAGGTATGGCAGTGGGACATTGAGGGTAGTGGTGGGACATGTAGGTACGGCAATGAGATAAAAGAGGGGTGTGGAGGGAAAGCAGAGGTTGGTAACGGGATACCAGGAGAGAGCAGTGGTCCAGCAAGGGATGGTGGTGGGATGCCAGGGGGTGGTGGTGCCAGTGATGGGATGTCAGGGGACAGCACCAGGGTCCCATGGTGGGGCTGTGCTGGGGCAGGTGGTGTCGGGGGAGTTCAGCGAGGACAGCGAGGTGTACAACTTCACTCTGAACGCTGGGGACGAGCTGACGCTGATGGGCCAAGCGGAGATCCTCTGCGCCAAGACAGTGAAGGAGAAGTCGCGCTTCAACACCATCCTGCGGAAGCTGGGCAAGGCGGCGCCGGCAGCGGGCGCCAGGCAGGTGAAGGGCAAGATGCCCTGCCTGATCTGCATGAACCACCGTACCAACGAGAGCCTCAGCCTGCCCTTCCAGTGCAAAGGCCGCTTCAGCACACGCAGCCCGCTGGAGCTGCGCCTGCAGGAGGGCGAGCACACCATCCGCAGCATCATCGAGAAGGTGCGGCTGCCCGTCAACGTGGCCGTGCCCAGCCGCCCCGCACGCAACCCCTACGACCTGCACGCCATCCGCGAGGGGCACTGCTACAAGCTGGTCAGCATCATCTCCAAGACCGTGGTGCTCTGCTGCATCCTCCGCCGGGACGAGCTGGTCCCTTTCCACTTCCTCCTGCTCACCGACATGCCCCGCTTCCAGCTGCCCGAGGGGCTGCTCGCTGGGGACCCGCAGCTGGAGAAGCTGCTGCGGGACAGCGCCGCCTATTGCCACGACCGCTTCAACCCCGACGAGTACTCGCGGGCCGTGCGGGAGGCCAAGCCCGACCTCCTGGAGGAGTGCGCCAGCCCCCGGCGCCTCCGGCTCTACCTGCCCGCCTGCACCCGCGAGGAGCTCAGCCAGCCCCTGCAGCGCCTCTCCCTCTGCTCCTGCAGCCCCGCGGGGCCAAGGGAGCCCAGCGCCCGCTGCCAGGGACCGCGCGGCATCGCGGGGGGCACCCCCCGCCCGCCGCTGCCCGACTTCCCCGACCCCGACCGGGAATACATGACCCCCGACTGGGCTGAGCCCGAGTTCAGGACTCAGGAGCCGCTGGAGATCCCCTACGAGGAGCTCTGGAGCAACCCCAGCCTGGAGGGCTGCTGTGAGCCGGGCAGCGCTGCCGGCCGCCAGGACCTTGTCTCCTTCGGGGTTGTGGCCCCGCTGGGGGCCCTGCACCGCCCCAGTGTGCCCGGGGACGAGCCCCGCGGGGGTAGCCCGCCCCCCGTGCCACCCAAGTCGGAGGCGGTAAGAGCCACGCCATGGGGAATGATGCACTTGGGGTCCCGCCTGCTGCCCTGGGCAGGGTTACGCACGGGGATAACAGGGTAGTGAGCTCCAACATGATCCCACCATCAGCCCTGTGCCACGGGCAGGGGTGCACAGCCCAGGGCCATGCTGCCAGCAACATGGCACAGCCAATCTGACCCCCTGCAGGGGTGCTGCCCCTGTCTTTGGGGTCCTCCAAAGCCTCTGCTCCCTGGCACCATGGCGTACGTAGTTCTCCGGTGCTCCCCATCACCAGGGTGGAGCCCCAACCTCAGGACACCCTTCTATCACGGAGTCCCTGGTTGCCCAGGGCTCTCTGCACCACAGGGTACCCGAATTTCTTGTGCTTCCAGCACTGTGGGGTAACCGAATCCTCTGGACTCCCCTGCACCATGGGGTATGCAAAATTTCAGCCTCTCGCCTCCTCATCATGGGGTACCCAAATTCCTACCTGGGTGCTGGGGTGCTGTCCCCTGCCTTTGGGGTCCCTCTCCACCTCTGTTTTGTTCCCCAAACTCTCTGTGCTCCCTGGCACTACAGGCTGCACACTTCCATGGAGCTCCCCACTGGTACCCAGAGCTCCCTGGATTGACTGGGGCTGGTTGCTCCCAACACCCCCCCCATCACCCCATCCAGCCACAGGGTCCCATGGGCAGATTCCCATCACTGGTGACTGGGTCCTGACGGTGTGCACCCCCCTTCCAGGTGAAGGAGGAATGTCGGCTGCTGAACGCTCCCCCTGTGCCACCCAGGGGCGGCCGCCCCCCGGCACCCTGCAGCCCCCCGGCTGCCCTGCGCTGCTCGAAGCTGGCACCCACTCCCTCACCCAGCCCCAGCCTCTCCTACTATTCCTCGGGGCTCCACGACGGGTGAGTGGTGCTGGTGTGGTCCGGGTGCTGTGGTGGGGATGTGGCAGCGGGATGAGACCGCGGGGTGGGATGTCCCTGCAGCAGGGATGGGGTGATGGTGATGCTGCTCTTCCTCCAGCAGGTCGGTCCCTCGGAGCGGCAGCGGCTCACCCTCACCCGACGCCTATTCCCTCTACTGCTACCCCTGCACGTGGGGCGACTGCAAGGCCGGAGAGGCCACTGGGCGCCCGCTGCCCCCTGCCACGTTGCCCCCTACCACCCAAACCTCCTGGTCGGACCCCTGGGCGTACGCTGAGCCAGGCGCTGGGGTGGGCGGCAGCTGCTCGACCCCGCTGTCAGGGGCTGAGCCCCCCCTGAAGCCCTATCGCAGCTGCCCCCGCCTCAAGCCCCCGCACCCCCAAAAGCGCTTTGCTCCCTTTGGGGCACTCAACCCCTTTGCCAGCCCAGCTGAATGGCCAGAGAGCCCCGAGTGGCCCAAGCCGCCTTCAGCCCCGGCTGCTCCATCCTCCTCCTCCTCACCAGAGCCCTTTGCGCCCATCGAGGAACCAGTGCCCCCCCCTCGCCCACCCAAGGGCTTCGATGGGGACAGCATCGTCATCCACGGGGCGGCCCCACTCTCTCCCGCTGTCCTGCGTGGGGCCGAAGGCAGTGTCACCCACCTCTACCTGGCTCAGGGTGTCATCGAGGTGCCACCAGCGGCGCGGGGCGATGGGGGGGCCCCTCCGGCTGCTTCCCGGCCCAGTGGGGACAGCTCGCCCTGGCTGCCCCCCGCTGACCTCTCGGCTCTCTCGCTGGAGGAGGTATCCAAGTGCCTGCGCTTCATCGGCCTCTCCGAGGACGTGGTCAGCTTCTTTGCCCGCGAGCGCATCGATGGGAGCATCTTCGTGCAGCTCAGCGAGGAGATCCTGGCCGATGACTTCCGCCTCACCAAGCTCCAGGTGAAGAAGATCATGCAGTTCATCAAAGGCTGGCGCCCCAAGATCTAGCCACACGCTGGGGACACCCTGGGCAGCCACCCCGTCCATGGGTCTTGATGTCCCCACTCCTGTCCCCTGCCGCGCTCCACCAGTGCCCACCGGCTGTGGGTATCCCGGCAGCTTGGCCCCATCACCCGGCCCTCCCCTTTTCTGTTTTAACACTGGACAGTAATTTTGGCCCCAATGGGCTGGAAAATACTGGAGTTTGCTTTGACTGGTTTAACTTAATCCTTGTGGATTAGTGTAATAAAGGTACGGGAGAAAAATGAGCCACCAGAGAAGGCCCTTGCTTGGGGAAAGAGGCTGTCAGTGGGGAAGGAGGCTTTGGGGATCTCTCCCATCCTTGCACACCCGGCCCCTCTCTTGGGATCTCTGCCTGGGAAGATGATGCTCCTGGAGCTGCTCTGGGCTGCCTCCACCCCAGGGTGAGTTCAGGGATGGAAAGGAAGCTCCCCTGCCTGCTGGACACAGCTAATCTTGGGGAAGGGAGGCAGAGACCTACCCTCAGGGCTGCAACCCCCACCCAAAAGCACCCCACTCTCTCAATGGCAAGATACCCCCAGCCCTAACTTCAGCCCTATGACCACAGCTCAGTCTTCACATGCACAGCCCTCCATGGGGCAGCAACCCACGGCCCTGCCCTCACAGCCAGGGAGCAGGTCCCAGGGGTTGCAGCCCCCCAGGGAGGGCTGAAGGCTGGGTACCAGCTCCACAGGCAGTCCTGTGCCTCCCCCAGCAGGCAGCAAAAAGAGGAGATGATATCCCAACCCAGTTTTGGTTTCGGAGCCTTAGGAAACAAGCATGGATGCAGCACAAAGAGAGTGGCATCACCCAGCTCCTGGCCCCAGCCCTGCCCAGGATGCAGGGAAAGGCTGGAGCTGGGCAGGCAACGCGTGGCATCACAGCAAGCCCAGGAAAGGGAGACCGGGCCAAGCTCTGAAATCAGTGACAGGTGCATGGAGATTTAAAGCCTTTTAGTTTAAACTGAGCTCTCCCCATGGGGGACCCTTCTGGTCTTTGGCTGCAATTACAGGCGGGTCCATCTGCCAGAATAACCCCGGCGGCAGTGCTCAGGGCCAGACAAAAGAACCGGAGGCTCCTCGCAGGCCCTGACTGATGGCAGAGGTGACAGAGGCGGCCTTTGTTCTGCACTGCCTCCAGCCCCTTGGTGCCTGGCTCAGCAAGCAAAAGCAGAGAGGACCCCAGAGGATTGCCTGAACGCTTTATTTCCGACTTGAACAGTTCCGTTCCTCGGTGCTGAGAGGCTGCTGCAACAGCGAGACAGGAGGAGAAATAGGCATGGAGTCCAAACCCAGGAGATGGGGGCTTATTCTGTTGGAAGTTCATGGAAAGGCAAGGCTGTGGGGCCAGTGCCATCCCGGGTGCAGCCTGCCCAGTGGGGAGCGCTGGAGCTCACAGCATGGAGGTGAATGCAAACGAAACTCTCTTCCAGCAAGGAGCCACCAGGCCCAGGGTGGCACAGGACGGACGTGCCCAACACACAGCAGCTGCTGCTAAGGCACTTGAAATGAGCAGAAGCCATGAGGCCACTCTCCTTCCTCCCCTGGGTGCTTTGGAGATTAACCTACAGATTGGGGTGTCGCTGGAGAGCCGGCGGCCTCAGCTCGAGCTGTCGGCGCGTCACGGGCGGGCGGTGGGGGGGCCACGCTCACTGGTGGAATTTCTTGCTGGGGTTGTTGGCGTAGTCCAGCAGGAGCTGGCACGGCGTGAACTGGCAGCCGTACACGGCCTCGTACTTGCGCAGCTTGTCCACCAGCTCCCTGGCTCCGTACGAGTCTGCGTACCTGAAGGGACCTGCAGGGACAGGGGGACACGGCTGTGCCAAAGAGGCGAGAAGCACCGAGGGCAAGAGCACTGGATTTGACCACTCCATCCTTCTCCAAAGGAGAGCCCGAGGCTTTCAGCAGGGCAATGCAGGACCTGGTCCCTGCCTGCTCACCTTCACCGAGCGGACACACTTGACTGCTGGGACTGCTCCCTTGCCTCAAAGGGGGGAATGAGAGGCATGGGGCAGCAATACTATCTCACTGCCCAAGAGCCCTTGGTACCCTCCAGCTGCAACCCCAGACTCAGCTCATGGCCACAGGCACCCACCCAGGTTGCAGATGGGTCCAGGAGCACTTTGTTGATGCTCTTGGCTGGGCCCAGCAAGTACCTTGGCCTGAAATGTGCTGTGCACCATGGCTGAGGTTGTCAGCTCAGCTTTATCTGTGTGCTGGGGCACAACTTCTGAATTCTATGTGCAGCATGAGTAGCACTCCAGCAGTGCTGGATGTGTGCCTGCCCAGCCAGGCAACTCGTAGTGGCAAGAGATGAGACACCAGAGCCTCATTTTTCACCAAGCATCATATGGCTGCACAAAAGCAAGCCAGGGATTTTCTCAAACTGCAGGGCCTTTGCAAGTCCCCTTCCCACCTACACCCCACAGCTATCAGGCATGGCCAAAGCTCTTCCTCTGAAGTTCTCCCAGGAAGCACTGATGAGGCTGGGGCCAGCAAGGCTCTGCCTTCTTATTCAAACCTGAAGACACAGCAAATGACCTGGTTGGAGTCCTTTGACCCCACCAGCCATAGCTCTGTTAAACAGCTGTTCCCAGTAGAGGAACTCCACAGGGTCCTTGCCAAAACATCTGACAGCAGCTCTCAGGCTCACTGCTACCTCTCACAGGGTGGGAATGCTGGAGCAACCTCACCAGCTCAGGCTTTAGGTGGGAAAAGGACAGACTGTGGCTCAAACCTGGCCTTAACAGCTGCCTTGCCTCTGGTGCTAGAGCTCACTAGGCAAGCCCGTGACAAAGCTGTTGAACCAAGCCATGCAGCCTAGCCCAGCTGAAGCCCCTTACCTCCCAGGCACGGTGGGAAGCCCAAGCCGAACACAGCACCAATATCTCCCTCCAGGGGGTTGCTGAGGATCCCTTCCTGCAGGCACATGGCTGCCTCATTCACAAACCTCGTCACCAAGCGCATCTGGATGTCCTCCTCAGTGCAGCTGCAAGGAAAGAGCCTGTAAGGGCTGTGCAGGTAACAGGAGCTGGAGGGAGGAGCACATGATGCCAGCATGCAAGGGAGACTCTCTAAAGCCAGGGGGAGAGGATGGGTGCTCACACTGGGGGTGCCCTGTCCACATGTGGATAAGGACTATGCTCTGTGCCATGTCCCAAAGCAGGCACGTAAGAATGGCAAAGGCTTGACCAGGTCAGGGGTAGGAGCCAGCCCACACCACCACTCAAACCCGCACAGCTACTTACACTTCAGGATTGGCTGGCACTTGGAACTGCGCTAAGACCTCGTCCATGGCAGAATTGACGTTCCTGTTCTTCACCCCCTCCTGGTAAACATAAAACCCTTTCCCTGCCTTACGACCTGCCAGGCACAAAATAAGAAAAAGACAGTCACATCCTGCCACACATCCCGTTTGCTCCTGACATCTTTGCCACAGATGATCTGGTGACTCCTGCTGCTGTTAGCACAGCAGCTCCTCTGCACTCCATAGCAAGCCCATTTACTGCCTCACCAAGGACAGAGTGAAGAGGTCCCATGGTCAGCCAAATCCTTGACAAGATGTTGCCACTGTGCCAGGCCCTGGTGTCTTCACTACTACTAGAGGACAGTCAAATAAAACCAAAACTTCTGTGGCTAGAGCAGCAAAAGGACCCTGGGAGCAAGGGACAGAGATGACAAGATCTAAAGAGCAACTCCTCCTGCCAGGAGTCTGGTCACAGCATGGGTCACTGGAGGACGAGAGCTACCATGGTGTATGTGCAGATCCCACTGATGGGCACTACTCTGTTTTGGCATGCTCAAAGCCACAGCTGCCTCTGGCACCCAACAGCATGGCTTCTACCATGTGGATGGAGCTTTTAAAGCTCAGCTCAGGGCTTGTTTCACCTGAGAACATTTATTTGCAGCCACTTGCTCTCTGTATCCTAGGGCACTAGTGCAGGTTTCAGGAAGGGGCCACAGAGAGGTTCATGAGATCTTGTCTGCTGCCTTTGCTTTGGGCAGCATCTCTGCCAGCTGCTGCTGGTTCTGCAAAAGAACGTCTGGTTCCAGCCAAAGGTCTACCCAGGGTACAGCTGGGAGGGATTCCAGACCCATTTCCAGGACTCTTTATAACCGCTCACTGAAGGCAGAAGAAGCTGATGGATACCAGTGCTTTTCCTTGAACAAAGGCAAAATACGTTAAGACTAAAACAGCCTAGTGTCTCACCTAAGAAGCCTTTTTGCACCATGAGCTTGAACAACTCGATGCTGCCTCCTCCAAAGCGCTCGCCAAAGGCCTTGCCAAGGTCCTCAGCCACGTGTGCAGCCACATCTACACCCACCTCATCGATCAACGTGGCAGCACCCACAGGGAAGCCAAAGGCTGTAGAGATGGTGTCTATTTTCTTTGGGTCAATGCCCTCCTGCAGGAATAGAAGGGGAAGCAATGGTATCTCTGGGCAAGTGTCCCAAAACCAGTGTGGAGCAGAAATCCTTCAATCATCTGAGGCCATGGACTGCAACCAGTCCCATTAGCCATCTGATGACTGACAGGAGCAGTGTCGTTGTGCTCACCCCATTCCTGACTCTCCCTGGTGCTGTGTAGGGAGGAGAGACCCTCATTACCACATCCCATCAAACCACAGCTCAGCCAATAGTGGCCTGGGGACAACCACAAGGACTGGGGCTGGTTACCCACCCCCTTTCCTGGCCAGGGCTGGGGTCAGCCTGATCAAGGGCAAGGAGGAAGCAGAGTTTACGTGACTCTGAGGCAGAGGCTCGGTAGCTGATGGGATACACACCTGGAGAACTCGGACCACTTCTGCCAGCATCGGTCCCAGGCACCTGGTGGTGTAGAAGCCAGGCCCATCCTATGAAGTGCAGCAGAAAGGCAGGTGAGTACAAACTGCAGGAACATGGCCCCTCTCAGTAGCATTAAGAACTGCGTTTCATGGCCCAATCTGCAGCTTAGGCACTGACACACAGGACAAGCACACTGAACTCCATTTCTAACAGTATGTTATAGACTGCTAGGACAGGTTTTTTTTATCCTGGAGGGCTCCACAGTGTTTGAAGACCTCCATGAACTCACTCCCTGGAAGTTCTCACCAGAGTGTTTTTATCTGAAACAGTGCTTGGAGGATCCAAGCAGGCTGCAAAAGTCCCATGGCTTCACCAGACCTATCAGGCTGACAAGGGAAAGGGTGCTCAGCACAAGCAGAACTGGCACAAACTGGTTGTTTTAGCTCTGAAACTGCTCATGAAAT